TGCGAAAATGGAGAAAAGGAGAGGTCAACAAAATGTAAAATACCTAGTTTTACAGTGATTTCAGATTTCTTCTTATTGTTTAACTACCTGACCAGACTAGCGAGTGCCTCAGGGTTTGTCTGCTCTTGAATAAACTGTAACTGTAAAGTGCAGCAGCGTTGCGACCCAACCCCCCTCGCTGGAAGTTACGGCATTTTATTTGACTCTCACTAGTCACGACAAGTCTGTCAATGCAAACAGATGCCGTACTGACTTGACTGTGAGTGAGCTTTTTTGACGTTATTAATTAGTCTGCAACTCTCTATAGTAACGCGCTATGCATAGATTGCGCGTATGACGTACGTGTTATGACGTACGTGTTGTCTGTTCCGTTACGTATGGCTTGCTGTTCTTATCTAACGGATTTGATCGCTAATGCGATTCACGATTCTGGTTTAACTAATCAGTCTGAAGTTTCTAACTTCTACTAAATCTGTGAGCTTGTTTCTAGCTGAAAGGTCGTGTGACTCTAGGTTAGAAGGAAGTTCATATCTCGTTCTGTTCTGTTCTGTTTGTTCGTTCGTTCAGTTTGGTGATTAAACATTTGGGAAGTTCCTGAGTGTTTGGGTTTCGGTAACTTTCGTTAGGCACAGCAATCCGCTCGTACCTAGCGGAAGTAGGCAGTAGTACCACTTACGGAGTCCAGAGCATATTCCCACTCTACCGATTGAGTAGGTTTGGTCATCTAGTGCGGTTGTCGCGGTGCGACTTCCGCATAGCATGTCATGGCGCCCAACGGATTTTAACAACCCCTGGGAATCTGGATCGTCTGGTAAGTGGTATTGGTTTTTGGCGTTTTGTGTGGTTTTGTTGGTTGACCACGTGGATTCTCAGAGAATCCCGTGAGGCAAGGTTCCTAAGTGAGAACCAGGTGCTTGCCCGCAGTGTGTACCGCAGTGACCTTAGGAGGTTACGCGAGGCACGGTTCCTAAGTGCGAGCCAGGTGCTGGAAGGGAGTCCGCCTGTACTTGTACTGGTAATTAGTACGGTGTGTACTGAGAGGTGGTGGCGTAAGCCCTGTTATTCGTGTAGCAGACTTACATCCGGGTTCGGTGACCTGGATTACTTGTCTGTTGTTTGTCAAGCAGGTGCAATGGATGGTACAGTGATTGAACCATCAGCATTAACCGCTGGACAGGAGGACGGTGTAGAAGAGCCGTCAACTGGCAAAAGTAAACCGTCCCGTCGAAAAGGGAGGATAAATGTTGACGAGTTTGAAGCCATGTTAAAGAAGGCGGATTATTTATCCCCGCCTACAGTGCAGTGGTTTCTACCTGAAGACGAAAAGGTTGGTGATTTCTGTAAGAAGTGGGAAATTGTTCTCCCACGTACTGGAGAATTAAGTCAAGAATGGGTTGAATATGATCTTAATGGTGGTAAAAAACCAGGAGGTTATGATCAGTGGATTCAGGCAGGAAGGAAGATTCCCGCCCGTCGAACGATCCATCTGACCTTGCATGATTATGATCAGCAATACGGCACTGAACTGCATGGCAAATGGATGCTGTATCTTGCCAACAAGAAGCCTGATCAGTCTGCAGCAGATAGCGGTAAAGCTCGTCCAGGGTCGCATGTGCAGCAAAGCGGTGTGCAAGCTGCAGTTAGTGAGAGCGATGCTCTGTGGGCCAGTGGTTTGAGTGGTACTGTGAAAGATACCACGGTAACTCAACAACTGGACCTGACAGAAATGAATAAGGTTTTGGAGCAGATTAATAATGCTCCAGATTATTCAGCTGTTGTTACTGGAGATAATGAAGATAGCGATACGGAACTGGCTGCTATTGATCAGCGTCATAAGGGCGCTGATGTTCACTACAGTCAGAAAGTTGGCAAAGCGATGAGTCATCAGCCGCTGCCGTGGTTGATCAGTTACGCAAAGAACTGGATGCAGAAAAGTTCCGATATCAAGCATTGGTTTTGAAGCATGATGGTTTAGTTGATAAGCATAATGATCTGGTTGATAAATACGACGGTTTGGTTGATCGTCGTAATGAGTTGGCTGATCAAGTGAAGTTGCTTGGCATTATGCGTACTCGAGACGCAAAGCTAATGCAGGATGCGTTCGAGCATGTGAATAAAGAAAGCGAGAAGCTTCAACTGGAGAAGCAGAAGTTCCAGCTGGAGAAGCAGCAGGCGCAAAAAAGTTTTCAACAAGGCACAGCTGCCTTGAATAAAAAGTATGCGAGTTTTCTGGCTGAACAAACAGCATTTAAAGTTGTTGTTGATAAGTGGAAAATTGATAGGAATAATGGACGTCATGCAATGAATGATGACGTTATTTTTGTTCCGCATGTTGAAGCAGATCGACGCAGCTTGGTAGTACAAGATATGCCTGAACCTGTACGAAAGCTGTACAGCGCAGTTCATAAACCTGTCTTTGTGGTAAAGGATAACCACAAAGTGGAAGATTTTCTGGAGTTACGTGAGCGTGCCCACAACATGCAGGAATGCTTGGGTGAGTCGCGTAGTCCCTCACCAACGATTTCTGAAGTTAGCACAATTGCTTTGGCCAAGGTGGAAGCCAAGGTTGCTGAACTTGATCGTCGTTTAAAGGAACAAGAAGCCAAGGGCGGTAGTATTGTTTCCGCTCCGTTTGATATGGAAAAGTTTACTGATGCAATGAAAGGTGCATTCAGGACTGATACAATGTATCCTGAAAAATTTGACGGGAAGACAGATACGAATAAGGTTGAACAGTTTATCCAGAGTGTGGATAATTGCAAAAACCACAACAGTTGGTCTGATGGTGACGTCATCAGTAAGTGCCTGTCGCGCTGCCTTACTGGTACGGCACTTACCTGGTATCTCGATAAGTATGATGCCAATAAGAAGGTAAAGTGGTCTGAATGGAAGAAAATGATCCGAGAACATTTTTCGGATGAGAAGCCTGTGACTGCTGAACCACCGGACCAGGTGATTAAAGCTTACATGATGAAGAAGTCGATGGGAAAGAATCCCGAAACTAACTGTTTGGGATCGTTCTTGATGCGAAGACCGGAGGTTAATTCTTTCACTGTGCAGGTTAAACATGCACAAGTTGTCGGAAAGGAAGAAACTTTCAGTGGGGGCGGAGCCGCCCAGTTACAGTTCAGCTCGATACGCCGTCCGACGGGGCACTCACTTCGCTTAGGGGGTGCTCGGGATCGTGGGGGTTGGCGTCGGAAGCAAAGTGGCAGTGCTTATGTAAAGCGCTTGAAGTATCTGATCGAGAATCCCGAGGCCGAGATGAGACGGGATGAAAGAGAGAACGTGAAAGATTTTCATGTTTATCGTGGCATTGTGTACCGTAGCAAGGGCGGTACGTACGGTAGACACCGTGTAGTCGTACCGGAAGTTAGCCGTCAGGACTTGTTACGAGACTGCTATGAAAGTTTTCATGCTGGTAATTTGCATGATTACTGGTCAGTCCGTAAGTATGTTTTGCGGAACTATTACTGGCCTGGAATGAATGCTGAATTGTGGAAAATCGAAGCACAATGTGAACAATGTAGTGCTCATGTTTAAGTTTTGGCTGCTACGTTATGAGTCCGCTGTTCTTTTGTCGGTGGTGTACTTACGGTGTAACTTGCTTTTACTCATAACCGCAGGATTTATCAGCAAAAAGGGGATGCTGATTGTTGAAATATCAGGAAGTTACAAAAACTGGTTGTGTGGGAAAAATAAGTACTCATTAATCGAGTACTGTGTTATGTGCCGTATCCGCCGGTGTGGTAGCTACGTGCATGGAAACGCTGTGCTGCGGTGCAGTGTTTGATTTCTGCAAAAATGACTTTAAAATCATTTTAATTCTGCAGTTATCAGCAGTTACTGTCTGCTTTGATTTTGATAACTGGATATTCCTAATCCTGTTGAAATTTGAATCGATCATCCAAAAATTATTCTTGGATGATACTGGTTACGTTTTGTTTGATCATTATGAAGAACCATGCAATCGTATCGGTTCTTGTGAACTGTTTATGATTGACTGTGTTTTATCGTTTGACTGCAAGTGTAAGCTTGCAGTGGGGGTAATTGCCAGTTATTAGTGGAAATTAAATATCCACTTTTGGTGCGCCGAAGATGCTGATAGATGGACGGTATTTATCCGTTCTGTTTTGTGTTTTTTGATTTGCTGTGGCCAGTGTTATCAGAATGGTTGACATTTCTGGTGTGTTTGGCCTGTTCGATTTTGGATTCTCGAGCTCTTCGGAGGGAGAGGATGGATGAAAACCTCACCTGGATACGAAACGTTTGGATGGATGGACGATGAAACTGGACGCGCGTGGTGGAACGAGGAACTTTGGAGGACTTGGACGGAACACCAACTTCATCAACTTGGACCTCCATGGGAACCCCCGTCACACCCCGGAGTCCACGCGCGAATGATGAAACGGATCCCCCAGGATTACGGTACTTTCCTGGATTTCGAGTTTTCTTTGATTTTGTTGTTTGTTTGTTTGCTTTGATTAACGCGGACGTTAATTCTGTAGCAGTGGGGGTAACGCGCTATGCATAGATTGCGCGTATGACGTACGTGTTATGACGTACGTGTTGTCTGTTCCGTTACGTATGGCTTGCTGTTCTTATCTAACGGATTTGATCGCTAATGCGATTCACGATTCTGGTTTAACTAATCAGTCTGAAGTTTCTAACTTCTACTAAATCTGTGAGCTTGTTTCTAGCTGAAAGGTCGTGTGACTCTAGGTTAGAAGGAAGTTCATATCTCGTTCTGTTCTGTTCTGTTTGTTCGTTCGTTCAGTTTGGTGATTAAACATTTGGGAAGTTCCTGAGTGTTTGGGTTTCGGTAACTTTCGTTAGGCACAGCAATCCGCTCGTACCTAGCGGAAGTAGGCAGTAATACCACTTACGGAGTCCAGAGCATATTCCCACTCTACCGATTGAGTAGGTTTGGTCATCTAGTGCGGTTGTCGCGGTGCGACTTCCGCATAGCATGTCAATAGTTTGATAAACATTTAATTTCTGATTTTGTCCATCGAAACTTTCTATCCACTGTTCCTGGATAATGTTCATGTAAATCATGTCGAAGCCTGGCAGTTCCGCTGATCATCCTCCTCACCGTTGCCTGGTTGAGTTTTTGCGCGGACTGCGTGAACAGCAGTCAACGGGGACGTTGTGCGATGTGGTACTGAAAGGCTGCGAAGAGTCCGCACTGGGCATTCCCCTGCCATCGCAACGTCCTCAGCGTGCACAGCGATTACTTTCGGGCCGTCTTCACGCAGGACTGGAAAGACTCATCGCAGCGAGTATTCCCGCTGCAGAACATCGATAGCAGCACGCTGAACGAGTGAGTACTGTACCGCAAAATGAGTACAATGATATAATCGCTAAAAAGTTTCGATTACGATCATCCTTGGTATACTGGGTAGGTTGGTAAAGTACGCATACACACTGGAACTGAACTTGAACGACGACAACGTGGAGCCCATCTTGATTGCCGCGCAGTTCCTGCAGATGACTGCTGCGGCCCACCTGTGCTGGGACTACGAGGCGAGGCCCGTCGACCTGTCTAACTGCTTGGCCGTCCACGCTTTAGCCACTGACTACCACAACCCCGGTTTGGCCGACACCGTCCTGGCCTTTGTCCATCTGTACTTCCAGCAAGTGGCACAGAGCCAGGAATTTCTGCAGATGGACGCGCAACAGGTGCTGCCTTCGTCTGCCTATGTTGACAGGCGACTAACCATTTCCGTTTCTTAAAATTAATTTTCGTAATGCAAGGGATGTGCTAGAACGTATACAACTTCGGAACTTCGGAAAAAATCTGCCGATTGAGGGAATCGATTATCGAACCGACAACCTCCATACTCTAATAATTGTAAGGCCGAGAGAGGCACCACTAGACTATCGGTAAAGCATACTAAAGCGTATGAATGTTGTCTAACAGTAAGCGGTTCACCATGTGTGACTACGTGTTCTGACCAGCTCACCATGAGCGTAGCATGACTAGACACATTTATCGGAAGATGCCCATTCTGTTTCTAAACCTGATTTTAGTTTTGGTCTTTCGTCCGTTCGTACGGGACGTACTAATAAAGTTAGGCCTGGGATCTGGCCGCACAGTGAACTGGTGTTTCTCGATTCTGCTAATCGTAAGCATAGCTGCTTCGTGACCTCGCATCCTTTTCCAACCTGAACAGTCGATTGCTCCCTGGAAGCGCTGTATAAGCAGTTCCAGTTGAGGTGCTTTAAGAGCATCGTTTTAATACCAATTGTATCGAAATTTTTTATCAAACGATCCTACAGAGAGCGGATGCCGCTCTAACATTAACTTAAATTTAACAGCTTAAAAATGTTTGAATTTCAAACCCTGATTCAGCTGTCCTGATTGCAGCTAACTGCAGTGCTCGCATCGGATAGCGTGGATGTGGTCAGTGAGGATGAAGTGTGGGAGGCGGTGCTGCGCTGGTTGGATCACGATTGTCCGGCTCGCTTGGAGCACGTGTCGCCGCTTCTGCAGGTGGTGCGGGCTGCCTGCCTGAGCGAACCGTGTCGGCAGGAATACGCGCTGATCCTCCGCAGTGCGCCGACGGGAACGCCGCAGTGCGCGATGGAATTGGTCGGCGGTACGACGCAGATCGCCAAGCCACGGCATTCAGTCGGTAAGGATAATGCGTCCTGTTGCAGTACAGTACGATCCGCGTCCGATCACTTCGGCCGCGTTACATTTCGGCCGCACAGGTTCATTTCGGCCAACGTTCATTTCGGCCGTGGCTCACTTCGGCCAACACTCATTTCGGCCAGCACTCATTTTGGCCAACGCTCATGTCGGCAACTGGATGTGTCGGCCATCTTAGGCTCTCTTAGGTTTCCTAGGTTTTCCTAGGTTTTCTTAGGTTTCTTAGGTTATGAACTTATGGTTTTTGGTTTTCTTAGGTTATTTAGATTTTCTTAGGTTTTCTTACGTTTCTTAGGTTTTCTTATGTTTTCTTATGTTTCTTAGGTTATGAATTTATGTTTTAATTGGTTTTCTTAGGTTTTAAGTTTTCTTAGGTTTTCGTATTTATTCTTAGGTTATTCTCTGGTGATTTAAGAGCTGATGATTTCTGTCGTGCGGTTAACTCACTCGGGACGGTAGACTTCGTGTGATCGGTCGACGATGTGTTAATAAGGACACTTGGAAATGAGATACATGATGGTGCATTGGTGACAATAGCACTTCCAAAATTGTTTGAAAAACAGTGCGTGCAAAATAAAGTGGAAACAGAAGTAAATTTCCTGCTAACGATAATTATTCACTTACTTTTACGCTGCAGAATAAAAGTTTAGGCAAGGCCTATTTTCACCGAAATGTACTTTGGCCGAACTCAATTGCGGCCGAAATGAACGACGGCCGAAATGAATGGCGGCCGAAGTGATTGGCGGCCGAAAAACTCTGGCCGAAATGAACGCGGCCGAAATGAAAACGGCCGAAGTGATCGGTAGCCGTACGATCTGGTTTCTCTAGTAAATTAATTGTCGCGTTTGTGGGTAGGAGCGCAGGAAGTGATTCTCTGCTTGGGCGGTACCTATGAGGAGCCGTTTGTCGAGGAGGAAGCCAGAGTGGACGTCTTCTGCCCGTCGATCCCGGCGGTGTGGCGTCTGAAAGATCTGCCCGACCTCGTGGAGTGCTGCTCCGCGGTGCTGCTGGACCCCGGTTGCATAATGATCAACAGCATGAACTGCATCGGGACCGTACAGCGCAACAGCCACTACACCGGCCTGCGCGACGAATGGCGGGCTATCGAGGGCATCCTGCCGGAGCATCAGGAGCCGCTCCGAGAATCGCCACTGCGCCAAGCGGGAGCGCTGGCCGCCCTCAATGGGCGGGTCTACGCGGCCGGCGGTTTTGATCCGTTTGCCTACGGAGGAGTAAAGGCACTGGCATCCGTGGATGCGTACGATCCCAGGAGCGATTCCTGGGGCGCCGTGGCCGCGCTGCCCGTTGGATTGATGGGTATGGCGATGGTGGCCTGCGAGGGGCGGTTGTACGCGTTCGGTGGAGAAGACACCGAGGACGTTTCGAATGCAGCGTTCTCCTACGATCCCGCAGCGAATGCCTGGATCAGGCTGGCCGATATGCCGACCGCTCGCAGCGGTTGCCGAGCGTATGTGGCTCCCGACGGGCTGATCTATGTTACCGGTATGTGAACGAGTGTAGTAAGGACACCTTGATAAGTTCTTGTAGCGAATTTTTTCATATTGCGATCACATATTGTGATACAATTTATATTTTCATATTACGCTCACTTTGCAGTTTGCGTACTTCTCACAAATTCTTAAATTCGAGGTCAGAAGATATACTAGCCTATTACAGCACCGTTACACACACTGCGCTAAATAGTCTATTCGCTAAGAATTACATAAGAAAATTAGGAACCTAATAAAACCTAAGAAACCTAAGAAAACCTAAGAAACCTAAGAAACCTAAGAAAACTAAGAAACCTAATAAAAGCTAAGAAACCTAAGAAACCTAAGAAAGCTAAGATTAGCTAAGAAAAACTAGGAAAAACTAAGACGAGGTAACCTAACTAATTGTTACGGTACATGGCGCAGGTGGAGAAACGGGGACCACGGCACGTCGTGTGCATGTGGAAGCGTACGACCGCGTTACCAACCAATGGCACAGGAAAGGTGGGTACAACCGTGTAGGACTATTGTCGCGCTGTCAGTGCGACAGCTGCCATTAATTTCCTGTACTCTCATGGTGGTCGTGTGTCTAACGCCAGCAACGCTCTCTGACTACAGGCGATCTGGTGGTGGAGCGTTCGGAGCACGAGTGCGTCTGCGTGGGTGGGAGGCTGTATGCGATCGGGGGAATCTTTACCGAAGGCGTGTACCACGACAGCATCGAAGTGTACGATGAGGAGACGGATAGTTGGGCGCTCCATAAGTGCCGTTTGCTGCAGCCTAAATTTGGCTTTGGCTGTGTCGTGATGAAACTGAAGCAACCGCGGACCACGGCTGGCCGGTTATAAGCGCAACGTGCATTTAAGCACCTGACCTTTGGATAGTGAGGAGCGCAAGGATTTGTCTCCGTTAAGTCTGCATACATACCGTGATGAACAGGTTTATGCACTTTTGTTGCTGATTACTATAGTATAAGAAATTGTGCTTTCGTTTTTTTGGATTGGGTTCTGTTGAGGATTTCCCAAGTCCGCATTGCAGTAAAGCCTTTTTACGATCATCTACGTGGTCTTCTAAGGAAGATGAAGTAATTCACAATATGGCGTGTGCAGTTGAGATCTGGCGTTTTTCTGTAGACAACGATAAGTCAGCAGTTTCAAGACAAAATAACAATGTAACATTACGGATTTCCGTCAGCGGACCCACAGGTTGTAGAATAAAAATGCAAGGTCGTGGCGTCGCCGGTTTGCAACTTGTACCGGCGGGGCAAAGTCCTCTTCTACATTAATTTTTTTGTAATTTGCGGGGATTTATTCTTGAAAGCGCGTCTCGCCACGAGTAGCCGGTATCTATGACACGAAATAAGCGTTTAAATTTATTACCGGCATTCTCTCCGTTCTTTAAATACGTTAGCTGAAATAAGTAGAAGTGGTGATGCTTTGTATCTTAGCCGGTACGCATGAATGCCGGCATGAATTTTGAAATGTACGAACACCCAAGACCGGCGGTTACGGTATCAAGCTCAACCCAGTCAACTGCTGCAAACTGCAAAGGCGAAAACATTCAACAAGTGTAATGCCTTGATTTTACTTGTTCATTTTACAGACTCCATTCATTAACCGCATTTTTCTGATTTTCTACTCAACCACCTAAACAATGTCGAAGCGAAAACGGTCTGCAGACTATCCTGTGCATGGTTATCTCGCTGCAGAGTTGGTGCGCCGACTACGGGATTTGCAGTCGACGGGAATGTTTTGTGATGTCGTTCTGAAAGGCAGCGAGGAATCCGCGGTGGGCATTCCCTGCCATCGCAATCTCCTCAGCGCGCACAGCGTGTACTTTCGGGCGGCTTTCACACAGAACTGGAAGGACTTTGCGCTGCCCGCATTCCATTTGCACAACATCGACAGTCGCACGTTGAACGAGTGGGTAGCAGTAGCACAGTAGCAGTGTAGCACTTGAAAACAGATGTCTGATTGTAAGTTCACGGCTGCAATAACTTCATTGATGAACTGGTAACCTGCCGCCGGTCTCGAATTCTTGCTGGACTAATGTTTCACTGGTTCTCAACCACAACCATTGCTGGAGAACTATAAAAAGCATCAGTCTTGTTGCTCTTTTCAGGTTGGTGAAGTATTCTATACCTTGGATATTAAGCTAAACAATGACAATGTGGAGTCGATTTTGATTGCGGCGCAGTTCCTGCAGCTGACGCCCTTCGCCACACTGTGTAGTGTGTTGGGAGCATGTTGAAGAGCACATGCACCACTCGGACTCCCTAGAGTAGCGGTCTACATTCTGGCCTCTCAACACGATAATCCCGATCTGGCTGAAAAAAACCCTGGAGGATGTCCGGCGACACTTTCCTACTTTTGCGCAGTGTCAAGACTTTTTGCAGATGGACGCGCAACAGGTGCTGACTGACAATTCACATTCACAACTTAAGAGTTCAACCATTCTTTTCAAATTCTAAAATAAATTTTAATATTATTTAAGCCTTCAAAAATTAAAAAAAAAATTATGGAAATCAGATCAGGCCCTTGTAGCTGCATATGTGCGTTTTCGTGCATCGGTAGGTCGGCAATGAGATCGGCCGATAATGTGGCTGTTAGCACGTTATGTACAAAGAAAGTTTTTAGAGGTTTCTTCACGTTTTAAACTAGTTTACTATTTACTTACTATTGCCACTTGCAGCCTGACATATACTTGCTTTTACTTACTTTGGCTCTCCAACCTTACAATTTACTACACTTTTAATATTAGGCCGACTTTTACTAACAAGTAAATGGCCGTTATTTAATTTTATTTAGCAGCACAACACTATAACTCTGGTGTTAGATTTTTTTTAGGAGGCTGTTGGTTGAGAAGATCTCCGAACTGTGGGGAAGATTCACCTGGTCGCCACACGAACTGACCATCGAGTCATCGACAGACTGTAGATTAGCATTGCGGAGCTGCATGCTTCCGTGCGGCGACGGCAAGCTGCACATGACCAGTCGTTCTAGGTGCGGCCTGAACGACAACTTTTCGGTCACGTTGGCCATTCTGGCAAAGGTCACGGCTGTCCATGCACCGTTTCGGCGGCTTTCTCTTAACGTACTATGTAGTCGGGACGATTGCTAATAGGCACTGGCAAGTATTACCGTAACTCACTCTGTCAATGCTGTGCTTTCGAAGTCGCTTGTTAATTTTGCAGCTCACAGAGTAGCGTGTGATTGTGTGTTTAACAGGTCCGCAAGTTTCACTCGATGGAAGAACATGGAACGATGTCGATCTGTGGTGTCCGGATGCATCCACATGGAGGTATTCCGAATTTGAAGCCATTCAACTGCATCCACGCTGAACCCGTTAGAAATGACGATTCAGCCATTCTGGCTGTTCTTGGAGAGTAGCTCCATTTCGCGTTAACAAAAAAGAGTTTATTTATGAAACAGACCAATCAGGCGCAGCCGCGCAGTTCATCGTTCAAGCAGAAAACAGTGGCGAAGCATGTTACTGACCGAGCATCCGATCCAAATTTTATGGCAGCTGGTTATGCTCGCAATATATAACACAGCGCCGTATGACGCGTAGCGTCATTTGTCATTTGTTAGACTTCGCATTCCCATGGGTTTCGAAATAGTAATCCCATAGGGAACGTTGCAATATTTTTAAGCAGCGGTTATCTATCCAAATACAACGGGGAAACGCGCAAGGGATGGGTACGATTCCCTATCAAGATAGCACAGAGGAAGTGTTTCTGTTATAATAATTATTTTGTTTTTGGTACTAAGTTTGTATCCTGTGGTCGATACTTATTAAAGGTTCTACCAAGTTTTCTTTAAGACTCCCTGTCTGAGCTGGAAGCGATGCCGCTCTATCAGCCGATATTGGTGGAAGCCAATCAAATCGGCTATCACAACACTGTTGCCATTCGCAATGCAGACGACACCTGGTGGCTGGGACACATTCAGGATATTGATGCCGATTACGCGTTCATCCACTTCAACTCCACAACAGCCGAAGCGCGTTGGATCCATATGCAAGACGTCTGGCCACTACCGTTATACTGGGACAGCGAGCGTACCAGTTACGACTACGACAACGTTCAATATTTGCGGCACTCCGCGATGACGATAACGAACCGTTTCGTTTCCGACCAGCTGTTATGCTGGACGCACAATGGGGCTGTCACCCGCAGAATGTGATGTTTTGTATCAGAACTGTCGCTTCCCAAACCGCCCCGGCTCGTTATGAGCTGGTCCACCGGCGCCAAGTGGCTACTGCATTGCCACCTCCTGGTCCGCCACTGCTGGGCCGCCGCAGCGGTGTGCTGTACACCAAGTACTTCATTCCGCTTGGCCATGCCAGTGCCGTTCTCAGCGAGCCGCTCGATAAATTTCGCATCGTTAAACATGTTTGTGAGGCTGTTCATAAGGAATTAGATACCGCAATGCAACGCCAACGGGAATATCTGATTGACTGCTGCCGATTTCATCTGCGCATCGAACCCAGTGGCTGTATGTTTGTCATCGTCAGTCTCGCCCCAGACCAGCAGCCGGCGCACAGGATGACGGAAATCCTTTCTAAGATCCTGGAAATGCAACCGGTGAGTCGCGTTCATCAACCGGCCATCGATAATCGAGCATTCCCTGCAAATGACGATTTGCCTCGCGAAAACGGTAAGCAGCTTCATGATCTCTATCTGGTGGCGCTTAAAATTGGTTTTAGCTACGGTGTTGTTTTCTTAGATGTCGACGCTGATGTCTTAGTGTTGACTGCCTGTCTTCGGGATTTAACGCCGATGCTACTGATCGACATCTTCTCACATTTGGACCTGCAATCACGCATGAGAGCCAAACGGTACGGGATATCTTTGCGGTTTGCGCATTTTTGAACTTCAAAACAAAGGTCATCGCCAGAGGTCATCGCCAACAACGGCAGAGGTTGACGTTGTTATGTTATGTCCCGTGTTGACACATGTCATATTCTCCGTTGTTTTGGGTTTAGTTTGGTTTTCTATACGGATATGGCTTGCGCCTATAGAAGTCCATAAGTGGCAGTACTTTGGCATCATCCGCCATTCACTTTTCTCATTCTGAGTTTTGGCAGCGTCGGGGTTTATCAATTAAATTTATCGTGGGAGATGCATTTCTCCCTTCGCGTAGATTTTTAGGGTTAGCTATGCCACATTGAGATATCAGCTCATACTCTGTCGTTGAGTAAGATCGGTAGGATAGTTTATTACGGTAATTGTTCCTATCGTACTGATCTCTCCGTCACTAAGGAGAACTGCAAACGTGACGCAGCTGTCGGTCAGCGAAAATTTGCTTTCCTACAGTTTCGCTGCCCGACTTCTTGCCAAAACCATTTCGCTGACCGACAGCTGCGTCACGTTTGCAGTTCTCCTACCGTGTTTCGGTCAGAATGTCGGTGTTAGCATCAACGAAATGTTGGCGTCGGGTTACGCTTTTCCAATGTCACATATCCAATGACCGATATCATTTTCCAGTGGTACTGGCGCTCGCTCGGTGCACTGATACATATAAGTATCTAACACCGCTAGCGGTATTAATACTGTCGTGTGTGTTTCTTATTATAGAGTGTGCTTCTTGTGGCAGTTGTTGCTGAGAAGCTCGCGGATGGGGGAGCACGTCATCTTCTCTTTGCAGGGGGTAAAACGTGGCAGTGGCACCTGCCAGTGGCACTGCCAATGGCACGGCAAGTGATAAAACCTGGAGACTCTGGCAACTGGCAGGCGATAAAACCTGGCAGATGCCACATAAAATGTGGCACCATGTATAACCGGGCTCATAAAGTTTGGTAAACTATATATACGGTTATACCTGAAAATCACAACCTCGATACACCCATTAGGCACAGTGCTGGAACAGAAGCCTTTTAACGTGGTGCTTTAAACCGTTAATTACGTAAGTGCGGTAGAGTATTAAGAACAGTCATTACCGCTTTACAATACTTCAGACTGAGCCTTTTGAACTAGGGTTGTTGATACCAGGCACTTGACAGCTTCAGTGGTATTAGTATTTTGGTATACCAGTTTATACCACTGGTATACCAGTTAGTACCACTGGTATTACCAGTAATACCTGGTATTATAATAATACTATGGTATTTGGCTTTTTCTTAAAGTTTTAGTATACTGTTACGTCTTAACATAGTCAATTCAATTTATTAAACCTGCACGCCTCCAAATAAGTCACTTAGAAAGTAAAAATCGGCCACTGATTCAATAATCTCATCGTCTGTGCATTCTTCAGATTCTAAAGAGCTTCTAACACCGAGTTGAACTGACTCGCAGCGTTCGCATCATCGGAGCCTTCCAGATCTGAAACTGTACTGCACTTATCATTGTTGCTGGAGATCAACTGCACTTCACCGTCGTCGTCCATTTCGACTACCGTACTTCCGCTCTTCTTGTGTGTCTGAAGGTCGACCTTCACGGATTGTTTTAGGGCTGCAATTCGCTGCGCTTCTCGTTTTGCCACAACATCTTCTTTTTTGAAATTTCATTCGCATCGCAACCATTCCTGTAGCCAAATCGAGTTTTAAGTTAGACCGGTTGTCGTCATGCACGAATCCTAATTGACTCCAAGCGCGCTCCAAACTCGCAGCATGCACGACGACGTGCAAAAGTTCCAAAGCTAAGCTGGCCAGCTCTTTGTGTTCGTACTGCACATAGTTCCAGTAGCGCTCCGCAGAAGATAGATTTGATGCAACATCATCTCCAAATATGCCCTTGTTCTCAATATAATCCATAAGGGAGTTAACCACACTCATCCCATCACAGTCGAATAAACGGACGTACCAGCCTTTTGCCCAGCGCAAAACAACCCCAAAATTGAAACGTCCAGAAGTATTAAACGCTTTCATTTTGGACTTCGGGTCCAGTATCAAAGCCAGCACAAAAAGCGACGGATCGTAAAATTTTTGCCAGCGTTTTTCTAGGGTCGACCCTAACACGTTCGCTAAATCGTCGTTTTCCAGTGCGATAAACACGTGGTAAATTTTCGCAAACTGACTGATAACATCCCCTAAGGTGCACCCATCTGTCTCTGTGATTCCTTGAGCTACAGTGATCGGATCCAGAATTTCCACAACATACTTTAGAGCACTCCAAAATGCTGCATCTTCAATGATAGCTTTAAGCTTTGTAAGCCCTTCGGTCTTCGATCGGTCGTCTGCTAGCCGCGCGACCATGCCCTATAAATGGTCATGCTTAAATTTTAAAATAATAAACTGTAGGTTGACCTACAAACCTGAAGAGGAAGCCGCGACTTGACAATCGCTCGGAACATATTATTGTAACTGTACCACCGTGTGTCGCATGGTTTGCTTATGGCTGTCGTGCTGCCATTGTACTTCATCTGCTCCTCGCGAAGAACGGATAGCGCTTTCGTGCGCGCCGCAAGTAGCGAAACAATGTCGACAGCTTTCTTGCAAACGGCTGAAAATTTTGGGACTGATGTCAAAACGTCCTTCACGATCAAGTTGATTTGGTGGGCACTGCACGGCAAAAATATCTTGCTGGGATACTTTTCCTTCATTAACCGCCTTGCCTTCACGTGGGCGGCATCCGAGTCGCACGTAACTGTGCGAGCACAGGCCTTGTATTTTCTTCCAACATCGTAAAACTGTTTTCAATTTTCTCCATGACGTCCTCAGCTCGAGACGATTGAGATGAAATAATTTCAGTGGACAAAAATGGTTTTCCACACCTTGACTGTTTCTGACAGTAGCCATAATTCCTGAAAAGCAAACGATTGTAGGTCGACCTACACTGCAAGTATGCAACAGAAACACTGCCCTTATGTGCCCCTGTTTTCATACGTACCAAGAACTTTATCGTGCTTTGCTTTCTTGTAACCGTCCAGCGTCACAGTGACAGACCGCTGCAATGACAATGCTTTGACAGTATCGCTTTCGACGGATTTAATGCGCTGCGGGATGATGCGAGTCGATAACACAAATCGACTTGGTGGCTTCACCGCTGGTCGCATAAATTTCCAAAATCGAATGAAACGAGGATCTTCGACGGCGCGAAAGGAGAAATTACCAGAGACAAACATATCGGCCAGAAGACGCTCGAATTCCGCCATCTCACTTTTCGCTAACGGCCGATCAAAAAACGATTCCGTGTTGCCCTGCTTTTTTGCAGTGCTTGTGCCAGGAACCGGAGACGGTAGCAGTGGAACCACGTGCGCTGCATCGCTTGTTTTTGGGTCGACCCAAACAGACACTTCCTTGCGGTATTCATCCTTCGTTGATTGTCGAATAAATTCGCACTTATAGAAATGGTTTTCCAGATGCACCTTTTCTCCGCGCACAACTTTTGGAGACGGCAGGTTGGCAGCACACTCTTTGCAAATCGCTTCCCAAAATTGGAATGAGAAACCAGTTTGGTGCCCCGATTAAAGTATCGCCAGATCGGTAAACGGCTAATCCGCGGACGTTTGCCCTGAAAACCTTTGTAGTGAATACTAAATTGCAGTGGCTAAATAAATCAAACTGCGCTCAAATTTAAAGGATGCGGAATGCTGGTCGACCAGCAAGTAAGAAGCGCACCTGATGCTGGTTGATCTTCCATCGCTTCCGAATCCTGGGTTGAGCTCCCTGGATTATCTGCTGAACTCATGATAGAAGCTCGCTAAGTCGATGCGCCGGTTCTGCTATGTTTTTCCAACCAGTTTTTGCCGACAAAAATGATGTTTTGTTACAGAAATGCTTGCCGCTTGCGGATAGAAACGAACGATAAAAGTCATAACGGGTAAAGAGGGATTAGCAGTTTAGTGCAGTGAAGCTGCGTAAGCGGTGAGATACAGTAGTACACGTAATGGCTTTGCGGTGATCACGACTTTCTACAAGGATTTTTCCGTTTCCCACTATCCTGCTCCCCAAAAAAATTGAATTTTTGGTATTACCATAGGCATTTTGGTATACCATAATTTATATGGTATATCTGGTAATAAATCATACCATTCGACACCTGCCTGATATACCATTGGTAAGTGGTATACCAGCCGTACCAAAATACCAGTTACCATTTGGTATCAACAACCCTATTTTGAACTGTTGTAGAACGGCAGTGCTGCATTATTAGCATGATTGACGATGCGTCAGGCTGTAATCTGACATGCTAAATATTTCTACAGAGTTATTCGCCCAAATACCAGACGCATATCGTTTTATAGAGAAAAATCAGCTCTATTAATTAGTTTTTTTTATAGCGGGGTAGTTTTTATACTTATCGTTTACAAAACATGTAAAGCTGATTTGTCTCTATAAAACGATATGCGTCTGGTATTTGGGGGAATAACTCAATGGAAATATTTAGCTTGTGAGTTCTACCCTCTGTAGAAATAACTTAAGAAACCAAGCCAACAGGGTGTTACAGTTATAACTCCATGATGTTTACCGGTGCCGCTGTGACAATAGTAGCAAAACTCAAGCTGTGTTATGGCTTGAACTTCGAAGTACGCAACATAACTTGCCACGGCGGATTTTGTAATGCTGTTTGGTATCCGGTAGCAAAACTCTCAGACTAGAAGTATATCTGTATATGTACGATCTAAGAAGCATCCAGCTTTCGCTGCTCATGTCAGAACGCTATTCTAATGCTGCACGTGTTATATTTCTCATACGTCTAAATATTTACGTGTTTTTACTGTGCTCCCAAATTTATACTATAAAATTATTTACTATTAATCTAAAATTAACACCAGTTACATACCAGCATGAATGCTTGTAGTTGTAAATTACTCGTATAATGTAATAATAACTATAAGTAACTGGCGGTGGTTAACCACAGCATCTCGGTAAATGTTATGCGGCACTGCGACTAAAATCTTTACCACCCTAGCTAACTTAAAATTGTACCTACAACACACAATTACGCTGATAATTTATTAGTGTGATCCTTGTAGTAAACTTGACGTTTATGCTGTAATATGCACTATGCAGGTAAAATAGCGCTCCCGGTCTGAATTTGTAAGCATATATGAACGAAATTTATTGGTATAGGGCCTTCTAGATTAACATGTGAACCATCAAAATTTTATATTTACGAGGGAATACGCATATTAAAAGCACACAGTGTATGGTAGTGTGTTCAGACTAATATCAATAATAATTAAAGCAGAGAGAGGTGGAACAACAAATTAAACTACACTACTTAGTACTTACCCAAACTGGCATCATAGTCAAATACTAGAATACCGATAATGAAGATACAGGCTAATACGAATTTATTTTAACGTCGCTCGTCACTATGATCCTGTAATTCCTAGCGAATTTAAAAGAGTCCACATTTCATGAACGTGACAGTAGCGGCAGGTGCCGGTACTGTTAGACCTCTTAAATTATAGCGCCAGAAATCAGAATCAGAATCACATGGCTGATGGCAATGATGGCATATTGTGAACACTTCAACGTTGAACGCAAAGTTACCGATTTTAGCATAGGCACGCCGAAAAGCAGGACATAATTTTACGTACCGCTCGCGTTCATCTGCTTGTGTCAAACGCTTATTTTCGCCGCTGCATGGAACAGGCAAAATAATCAATTAGCAAAACAAGAAGATAAGGTTAGCTGTTTGTGGAGCTACACTGCTGTAAGTGTACAAGCGCGCATATACATGGCGCCGGTTTTTTTGGAATAACAGCGAAGTTCACGTTCAAGTGCATGCAACTGATGCAAGACATATACCGAACACATGGGACGAGCCGGTACGGTAGTGCACTAGATTACAAATAAAAACATGACACATTGTTTACAGCAGTTTGTGATTCCCACCTTGCTGGCACTTGCCCGTAGTCTGTATTCAAAACACTTACAAAAAGCGGCTTCACTCAACAATCTTTTTCTTTGCACTAGTTTGCAGACACGTTCTTGTAATGTTGACAAGCAGTTATAGCGTTAGATTTCCCTTTCCGGTCCGAAACCGTTTGTCGTCCATAATACTGATGGCCTGCCGTAGAGTGTTACTGGGTATGTTTAATTAGCATTATATTGCTAAGTGTTTGATTATTTCACTTAAATGACTGTAAAAGTATGGCACCAGTAACATTACGATTAATTACTGTTTTAATATTAGTGTTTCTATTTGTAATCATGCAGTATTAGTATCGCAGTAAATTATTGTTATCATACAACAGAAACGAATGGCCTAATTACAGAAAAAATTTGATCTAAGTTAGCCGGAATAAGTAACGTTATGCATACTGTGCAAACATATTAATATCGCTGTATACTACAAACGTGATTACATTATGTGTAAAAACTTACTAATGCAGTTTCATGGATTATGCGAGTCGGGACAGCTTTGCTTGGGATAATCATTGCCGTTTTCCAGTAGTACAGCGTCATACAGCATGAACTGCTTATTAATTTCTGAATTATTACTGTAGTTTACGAGAGAGTGGCAGTGGTATAAATTTAAGTTTAGGATTAGTATCTGTCCGGGTGACCCGCTCGCCATTTCGTCGATGAAACTTCGTCGACCATCGCTTCGTCGAACAGACACACCGTGGGACTGGTGTTTAGCGAAACCGTCGTAGCTTTTTAATTTTTCTTATGTACATATTTTTATGTTTTCGTCCGTTTTTTTCATTCTTTTTTAGATTTTCTTTCTTATGTTCCATGATCTTTTTTCTCATATTAGTCACCCTCGTGTCGGTGGACAAAGTGTTGGTCGACGGAATGTCGGTGCATGCATGAGCCATGTGAGTGTGCGCGCATAGTTTTACATAATATTGTGGTGCGCTAATGGCTCCTAAAATAAAGAGCTGAATTAACTTATAAACCAGTAAAACTGTTTTGAACTTTTACATTAACAATTTTTCAAAACGATCGTGACAGTTTTGCTCCTGGTTGGACAGAAGCTTTTGCTATTAGATGCGATGCTAACTGACAATGAGACTTGTCAATCAGCTGCACTTAATTAATCGAATAAAACATCATGATGAAGCGCGAGGTATATTCCAGCGGTTTGCCTTCTAGATCTGGAAGTGTCGCGACTCGCGATTGCATTTTAAATGCGCTTTTGTAACCTTTTTTACTGTATTTGTGGTACGTTGGGCAAACAACAAAATGCAATGTGACCTTTTAGATTATATACGCCGGAGCTAATTTACGAACTCTGTGCATGGGCCAGCATGGCCGATACTTGCTAACACTTGAATTGAATGTTTACTGTTAACCGTTTTAAGAATATACGGTTGACAAAACTCTCCGTCCCGCTTATACGAGGTGCCACATTTTATGTGGCATCTGCCGCATTTTATCGCTTGCCAGTTGCCACAGCCTCCAGGTTTTATCACTTGCCGTGCCATTGGCAGTGCCACTGGCAGGTGCCACTGCCACGTTTTACCCCCTGCCGCTGAAAGGCCATAATAACGTCAGGCTAGGAGGATATGAGCAGCACCAGTCGCGCGTCAAACACGGGGCAGCGTGGAATATCGCGCTGTATAAGCACGTGTGCAGCTTCGTCCTGCTGCACAAGTGGACCGTTGCCGGCCTCTTCGGTCGCCATATGTGGCAAGTCTTCCAGCAGCCTATCCACCACGCACCACATTTCGGCATGACCCTTCCTGCCCTGCCGGCCCACGAGCGGGAGTGGATGGTGCAACTCACGGAGAGTCAAACGAACTGTCCATTGATAAGCTGCAGATCACCCTTCCGAAACTGCTTCTGCGCTGCAGCGACGGCAAGATGGGCATGACTAGTCGCTTGATGTGTGCCCTGAACGATGACTTCCCGCCAATCACGGAGGGCATGCTGGCAAAGGTCACGGCGATCCATGCACGCTGGCTGCGGAGCCTGACCTATCCCGATGACTGGCAGCATATTCGCTATTACCTACAACTGTAAGTTCGAATAAATACCAATGCGGTACAGTAAAAGTAGATGGGACTCGTGACAGTCATGTCTCAAAGATTACTGAAGAAAATATGATCATCGGTAGGAGTTTTGTGCATCGGTATCGCATGAACACGAGGTCTTCCAAAATACTTAAACGGGTTTTGTAAAGGCAGCAACTAACGGTGAGGGCGAAGGCCTGTATCGTGTACGATCCTTCTATCCTCGAAAACCGACAAAGCAACTGCTTAGCAATTTATTTGAGAGCGGATCTACTACGTCCAATAGTAGTTGTATGCCGCGTGATGTGTTGCAGATTCAGCGGATTCCACGCGGACGGAAGACCAAGAGCATGGGAGAATGTCGATTTGCGGTGTGTAGACGTAAGCACGTGGAGCAAACTGGCCATACACGGGATAAGCGAAGCGTTCCGAGCGTGAACCCATGCTTCTTCATCCACGCTTAACTCGTTCGCAAAGACTATCCCGTGCTTGATGCCGGGATAAAACCACTTTTAAGGGGTTGCAGGAGATGGAAAGCTTAGGGCAGGCATCTGAGCATGTCACTATTTACCGCTACATTTTTTGGCCTATTTAACGACAAGAGCAGCTTTGGCTGTTGGTGTCTTTCCTTCCTTTCCTGCTTCTCCGGTAGGTAAACGTAACGATCTTCTTTGTGTCGGGTCGGTAGTTCTTTCATTTTGCTCTCTCACAACGTCAAAATTTTCTAAGCATTTAAACTTTTAACGTTGATTCATATAATGTTACCGTATATGCAAGCCGGCTTGCCCTGTTTCTGCGGCGCCAAAATGTTGCTTTATTGCCAATTACTTAACAATTTGTTTGATCGTTTTCGTGAAACTGTGAAGTAAGAGTATCGACGATCTTGAACTGTACCAACCACTATGACAATAAAGGCTGACACACATAAAACAAACACACTTCTCAACATGCGTCTTATAAATCAGTGGACCGTAGACCCTTCTATGTTACCAAGCGGCTTTGTTTCGTTATTAGTCATTATTTCTCACGTGCACTCTGCAGATCAATGAAAATGAAATGACATAAATGCAATGGAAGCATGAGCAAAATATACCTCGCAAAAGAACTGAAAACATGTGTGCATCACTGCACTTATTTCATTCCCAATGTACCATTACAAACTCAAGACGGACGCCTTCATCCTATAATCCGCAGAAGTCGGCACAACGATGGCGCAACGTCAGCGGCGCTCCCTTCAGCCTCGTCGCAGCTTCATCACCGCACAGCCAAAGGCCGACCGGGCCTGCGGCAGCCGGCACTCGTGCAGCGCCCAGAGGTCCGCCTCTTCATCGTACACTTCGATGCTGTCAAGATCATTCCCGTTCTCATCGGCGTATCCCCCGAGCACGTACAGCCTCCCGTCCAAGCAGACACATCCGGGATCACTGCGCCGCATGACCAGGTCCCCTGTGGTGAACAAACGAAGTTTATACTTAATACCATAACTGATAATTGTTATGTAAAATCGGTATTCGTACACAAACAGGCCATTCGAAGACAACGGAACTACACCCTACCTTTTCGTAGCCACTGGGGAGATTGGGATTGGAGGATACCACTTTTATTACCCTGCTAAATGCGCCGTCTGGAACCTTATGCCCAATTTAAGCCAACCTCAGTTTGAAGAAGTTGACAACTGTAGTCACATAATCAGAAATCTCTCGAACATCCTACAATTCCCTTACTGCGCGTACCGATCACGTAAATCAACCCGCTGGGACCAACACAGGCAACACAGCGCCCGCGTGCGGTGGGCATGTCGGCCAGTCGGCTCCAGGCGTTGGCGGCGGGATCGTAAGCCAAAGCCCAATTGCTGGCGTCCACGCCGTCACTGCGTTCGCCCCCAAAGGCGTACAGCCGTCCGCCACACCCGACCATCGCCAAGTGGGCCAGACCAACGGGTAACGCGGCAACGGCGCTCCACGCGTCGCTGCTGGGATCGTACATCTCCACGGATGACAATGAGCTGTCACCCGCACCATAGCCGCCGGCAGCGTACATGCGCCCATTCAATGCGGCCAGGCCGGGCTCGTAGCGGTTGATCTGCATCCAGGCTCCCCGGCGCCACTGCTCCTCCAGCCCGACGTAGCGGCTGTCGCGCTGCACCGTCACCACGCCGTAAGGTTTCGCAATCACCAGCGAACCGGCGTCCCGTATCATTACGCCACAGGGACCCACAAAGCGGGGTTCAGACTGTTCCAGTCGCCACACTGCCGGGATCGAGGGATCGAATACGTCTACCGTGCCGTCAAAACGGCGTCCACCCACGCAAAGGATCACTTCGTGTGCATCTAACAACAGTCCGGGCGTTTAGTTCAAGTGCCAAAAGTCTCGCATGCGAAGGGAACAAAATAACAGCGATCAGTAAGTGACTTGTATTTTCCTATCTTCTCCCGGCATGCAAGTTCAGCGGCGGCGCCAGCACACTTTGAGGTCGCGTCGATGTATGAATCAGCCATCGTGTCTCTGCAAGTAACGTCCCAAACTAAAGGCTGTCCACGATACCATTTCCAGCGCGTGGCTCCATCCGGACGCTTTCCGTTTTCGCGCAAAAAGCCAACAGGCTCCGGGTACGACTCAATGCCGGCATTGCACAGCGCACGCAGTATGATGTCGTTAATGCCGTTATGTCGCTCTCTTCTCCCGACACACTTCTTACAAGCTAGTCCATGGTGTCCGTTTTCCGTAACATCTTTCCCACATCTAACGCATGAATGGCGCTCCACAATCTTCGCACCAAGCCACAAGCCAACAGAAATGCGAAACGTCTGATCGTCCAGAAAGTTGCCTAACACTTTCGCGGGAAGAGCATTAAGCCAGGCCCCGGCGTATTTCGTGCTGACCGCTCTTAAGCGTGCTTCGTCTCTCTTATTGTTGTCAACACTATTCCACAACAAGTTAACATCCTTCTGTATTGTAAGCGTAAATCAGCACCTGATTGGATTGTAAGCGACACTCAGCACCTGTTGCGCGTCCATCTGCAGAAAGTGATGGCTGTGTGCAAACTCAATAAAGTGTTGCCGCATACAGCCCAGGGCTTTTTCCAGCAGTACGAGATTATGGTGGTGAGCGGGATTATGGTGATTATGGTGGTGAGCGGGATTATGGTACGTACGGGATTATGGTGGTGAGCGGCGAGAGCGTGGACTGCCAGACAGTCGGACAGCCGCATGTGCTCTTCCACGTACTCCGAACACAGTTCGGCGAGCGGCGCCATCTGCAGGAACTGGGCGGCAATTAAAATCGATTCCACGTTGTCATCGTTCGGTTCGGGTAGTTGTAATCGGGTAGAAGAGCAAGTCACTTTAGACGGTTCGGTTGCAGCGGTAAGTCGTTTCAAATCGAACCGAACCGACTTTGCCGAAAATTTTTATTGGCTTTGTTAAGGCTGTAGGATAAACTTTACAATAGATTTAGGTACAATATAATAGTGAGTCGGCGAAGTCCGCCTGGGCAGGCGACCGGGCGCCGTGAAACGCATTTAATCAAGGAGCAGACAGAAATTCGTTAGACACACGCTCTGTCTAACTCTGTACTCTTGATTAAAAGCGGTGCCCGTTTTACGGTTTACGGCGGACTTCGCCGACTCACTAATAAGTGTTATTTTGACTTTCGAAACATTATTGAGCGTTTCATAAGAAGTCTCAGCGACAATTTCCAAGTTTTTTTGAGTCGTTTTCGAGCAAAACAGTTCAGTTTTACCCGAAATTTACGCGAAAACGCGCTAAGAAAAGTTGTAACCTTGCAATCGCTTAAAGTCGCGCTTAACCGGTCATTTTCGGTTCGACTCGAGCCTTAACCGACCCAAGCGGTTCTGCTAACCGGAAAACTGACTCGAAATCGAGGAACCAAACCGAAAGCGAATCGGTTAACTGCGGTTACAAACGGTTCGGTTCGGTGCTTGGCATCTCTAGTCCTATTGCAACAGTTTGCTTCATGGTACTTCGCGCTTCATGTCTTCTTTAAGACTCTGTCTGAACTGGAATCGATGCCGCTCTATCAGCCGAATTTGGTGGAAGCAGCAGTCAGATCAGCTATCCCAGTACTGTTGCCGTTCGCAATGACAACGACGCCTACTGGCTGGGACACATTCACGATACTAATGCCGACTACGCTTTCATCCGCTTCAGCTCCACAACAGTCGAAGCTCGTTGGATTCGTTATCCACAGGAACGACGTCTGCATTTTGAAGAGTCATCAGCTCACCCATAGGTGTAAACGCAGTGTCGTGTGGTGAATAGGATCCTTCTGGTTCTTGAATAGGATCCTTCTTGAAATCTGAGCATTTGCGTTGCAATCCATTTAAACATGCCCATATTCTGCTTGTACATCGTGTGGTGTCGCGCAGATCTGAGATTTCAGTGGATTCTACTCGGACAGCAGACCAAAAGCATGGAACGATGTCCATTTGCGGCGTTTGGATATATGCACGTGGAGTAAACTGGCCATTTATGGGGTAAACAGCGTGAACCCGGCACTTTCCTTCAACGCAAGCTCGCCCAGAAAGACTATCCCCACGCTTCATGCCGGGATAGACCAGCTTCAATGGGTAGCAGGAAACGGATAGCACAGCGGGACGGGTGTGCGGCGATTCTGTGCATACCAGTATCGCTATTAACCGTCAAATTTTTGTTTAGAATTGTTTTCTCTTCCTTTCTTGCTAAATATTCGGAGAGTTGGCTGAGTTTTTGTTTTACTTTCATAGTGTATACGTACGCACATGCACATGTATGCACGATTCTCGCGAATGTTGTGCGACTGTGTCCGTTGGACCGTACGTAGCCACTGGACAATAGCGAATTTAGATTTCACAAAACAAGTTACGTCCAGTTCGACGTTCGGGTAAAAGTTGGCGTTACGGGTTGTTTTACGTCCGTTCGCGACGTAAGGCGCCGCAAGCCAACGTCGTTGGCTTACGCGTCAAAACTGTCTGCCTTACGTGGATCCATGCAACGACTCAGCCATATGTTAGAGCGACAAGCCAGCGTATGCTGCCTTTGGATCTTTTCTGTGTGCTCTAACCGCCTCCCCGAGAGCAGGTTGGTCAAGCTCTCGGCACTCTCGATTCGATTTATTTTTCAGCTGTACGTCACTGCAAGTGTGCATCCGTACAAGCATTTTAAACGCCGTTTAGTCTGCTAACGTACTGTTTATCTGACGCGGTAGTTTCTAATGAACGGAGCCTAAACCATGTGAAATCTAAAATTCCCTAATGAATGTCCCTGGTGTTGCTATGCTGTCTGAGTTAGTTGGCTGTTTGCGCCTTCGCAGGGCGGATAATAATATCATAGATCGTCATCAATCGATTATCATATACAGAGATGACAAGTTTGTTTGTAGAACTATTGTTACTGTGAGGCTTACCTGCTCGTACGGGCCAGGCATTTGTGTTATTTCCGTTGTACCGGCACACAGATTCGTTTTCCAGAAATCGTTATGAATTTAAATCTGTCTCCCATGCTGGCCATGCATCCTCAGTTGTTCGCCATTCGGTTTCAGTAGCCGGCAATGATGTAAGAAGGTATGAAAATAATAAGAAAACATAAGTGTAGTGGATAGTAAAGGGTTCTCGGGAATGATAACCGTGAAGTGGTTGTCTTGTACGAATGCTATTCCTGGCAACTGGCGTAGACTATGTACGTACGCAGTTGCATTGTTGTTGTAATAAGTATATGTTCGTTTCTTCTACACTATACGTAACGGAGAATACCGCCGAATCCCATCAATGCTCTTTACTGTAGCCGCATACGACCGATAATGCATCGTGCAGTCACAACTTTAGCGTAGCGCTAGGAAATAAGCATAGAAAACGGTCGTCTTTGGACACGGATAGCTACGTGATGATAGTTCACAAAAATTACATAAACAGCAGTTTACGAAGATGTTTAACACTGTATAAACGTCACGATACGTCACACAGCAGCTGTTTAGCCTGCTAAGTGCAGCTCCTAAGCTGCTAATAAAGCGCAAGTATTAGCGCTCAGTAAATACTGGGTGCGCAGCCAGCGTGAAAAAATAGCCGTGACCTCTATCAAAACAGCCAACATGACTGGTGGAAGTGTTCGTTCAGGGCGCACTCAAACGACTGGTTGTCGGGGCTGGCTTTCGCGTAGGTCATCACTCTGTTCTTCTGCCAATGGTTGGTTTCTGGTATTTTCCTGTCTGGCCATTTTCATGCTTCTTTACGGCTCTGTAGCGCAGATACGCTGGCTACACACTTCGTTCATGCGAGTTTATAACCTTCATAACCCCGCACGTGTGAGTGTGTGTATAGCGGACCGGTTGCCGATTTAGGTAGCCATGAGCTTCGCTGCAAACGATCCGCTGGTAGACTGCTCAGACATGATGGTATCAGCGGTGAGTTTACACGAGGACTGAAGACGGCCGGTTTCCCAGCCAGAATAGAGCCGAAGGGCCTGTCCGTAAAATATAAAAAAAGACCAGCCGTGATCACACTTGTCCCGCGGGAGCGCGGAAAGCCGTTTGGCTGGCGTAGCCCACTCGCCGCCACGTACATCGAGACCGCTCCTCCGTAAACGTTGGGGCCGCAGCCGAACACGCAGAAAGAGCGAAGCTGACAAAACACGCCCGGTTACAACCAAGATATAATTTCGTCGCCCCAGCATTTGAAATTTACGGCCCTTGGGGAGACGGAACGAAGAAGCTGGTGGATAAGGTTGGAAACGGTATAGCCACCGCCGCTAGCCAGAAGCGAGCAACAGCGTCCTATTAGCGGCTTTCTGTGCAAATGCGAAGAGGGAATGCGGTTTATATGATGGGTACGACTCCCGAACAGGATAGCATCGAGGAGACGTTTTGCTCTAAAACTCGTTTTATATTGGTACTTGTATCGCGATACTTATTGAAGCTAGCACTATAACAGCATCAGAGCTCAGAAAAGATCCGGAATTCGTCAACTCTACTCTGTACTCGAGGAATACATCATCATTTATCATCACATCAGAAGGCAAACATTATGATCACAATTATTCTAGCTCGGCTTATTCAGGGCACGGAAACGGCGCAACGTAATACATCCCAGACGAGAAAAGTTAACCTGGAAAAAAAGAGGAACGAACAAACATCATTCCATATCTGCTATTCAACGCCGACCGTTCCGGGTTTAACGCAGGCCCCTTTATTCTGCATTCGTAGGGAAAACCATCATTCAACTGGCGAGTCTTTACCGGCCGGAACTTTTGCCGGTGGCCTCAGTTTCATCACCACACAGCCAAAGCGCGACTTGGCCTGCGGCAACTGGCATTCGTGCAGAAGCCAGCGATCCGCGTCTTCATCGTACACCTCGATGCTGTCATGCTGCTCCTCCTCCTCACCAACGACAGCGTACCCTCCAAGAACGTACAACCTCCCATCCAGGCACACACATCCGGGATTGCTCCGCGGCCTAACCAGATCCCCTGTGGTCATAACTCAGTGTTAACACCACGACATCAAGGGTCCCGATTTCTAAGCGAATCTAGCTCTGGTAGGGTTGCTCCGCTGCTGCAATCGAGGTGGCTGTATGCAGTGACCGTATCTACAGATACAGTATGCGAAGCCACACCGCGAGGTGGAGTTGCTGTATCGTAATGATTCGCTTGGAATATCGGACTCACCCTAACAGATACGACCTGTAAAGCTTTTAATAAGCATAACGTACAAGGACATACTGAGTACTAAAACAAAAATCCATAACAAAAACACTTCTTCAATGCTATCCTGCTCGGGGATCGTACCCATAACACATATATAACGCGTTTATACTTGTAGGGATTTCGTTCTACCGGTTACACCAGCATATAACTGCCTATTGCCCCGAATGTAAGTAACTGACTGCATTATATGCAGTACCTATAAAATTAACTATTGACCTAGCAACTCGGCTCGGCTGCTGATCCTAATTTCCTATACTCTCATATTGATTCTACAGAACAGCGAAAACCACCTACCTTTCTTTTGCCACTGATTGGCCACGCGATCGTATACTTCCACACACCGTCCCATTTCTCCGTTTCCACCTAAGCAATTCAATAATGGATTAGGAAGTTACAGCAAGCATCAGTTTTCCTGCGACTAAAATTCTTTACATAACCGAGAACATGCAATTTTAAAGCCGTACGTGTAGTATACTAACAGGCTATGGGCGGATTAATATTATTTGTAATTAACTATTAACAATCCTGTCGTTTAATTCTCCCTTCCCGGCGCGTACCGACAACGTAAATCAACCCGCTGGGAGCCACACAGGCCACGCAACCGGCGCGTCCGGTGGGCATGTCGGCTAGGGTGTCCCAGGCATTCGCAGCGGGATCATAGTAGAACGTCGAACCGCACGCTTCCTCGCCGTCTTCTCCTCCAAAGACATACAGCCGCCCGTCACACGCCACGATGGCGAAGGACGCCAGACGGCGCGGCAATGCAGCCACCTCGCTCCAGACATCGCTCTCGGGATCGTACGCTTCTACGGACGACAGCAACTCAAACGTGGAATCCTCCAACTCATAGCCACCGGCAGCGTACAGACGCCCATTCAGCATCGCCACGCCTTCCGAATGGCGCCAGGTCAGTTTCTCGGCCCCCCGGCACCATTCGCCACTCGGGTGCGTGTAGCTGGTGCTGCGCTGGAGCCTCGCGACGTCGCTAAAACTGCAGATAAGAATGGAACTAGCGTCCAGCAGCGCGGCGCCGCAGCTACCGATTGGAACCGGCAGACATTCCTCTAGGCGCCATACTGCCGGTATCGATGGGCTGAAGACGTCCACTGCAGTGAACTCGCTGGGCTCTTCCTCTTGGCCGCGTCCACCCAAGCATACGATGACGTCCTGTGCAACTGACACCAATAAAAAACATTATTTCAATGTTTTCTTATGTTATTCTTATGCAGTTTTACAGTTAACTAGAATCCGTTCCATAGATGCCCGAAGGGTACAGACCTTTCCCTAATTTTTGGCTTAAACTTTTTGTAGTGCATATGGGGTTGTATGCGATAGTCCTTGCTGTACTATCACTGCACACTGATTTTTAATCTGAATGGATGTATGTGAGCGCTCCGAGCCGACACATTCTCTGTGACGGCATGTACTTAGTATATGACTTCAAGTGCTTAGCAACGTTAACCTTTATGAATATTTACATTCCTGACATACAGTCTACAGATGAGTTAGTTCCCTGGTTGGCTCGCGGAATAAATAAATATACGTAATTGGTAATACGTGACATTCTCATTCTCTGTAAGTCTGTGTACAAACCATGCCCCTTGTTCTCACGTCTGAACCAAAAATTAGGAAATGGACTGTAAAAGATTGAGACCCTCTAGGCTCTAGGATTTCTTTACTCCAGGAATGCCGTGGTGTGGTGTTCGTCGCGCCGGTCAACTGGCACAACGACTATCACCGGCGACGCGCTGGCCATCGTCTCTGTGTACTCCTGCCGACCCTGGTCGCTCAGAAAGGCATCACGGACATTCTGCAGGATTGCGGGCACGTGCGCCAGTCGTCCGGGGCGGTCGTGATCCAGCCAGCGCAGCACCGCCTGCCACACTAGATCCTCACTGGCCACGTCCACCTTATCCGATGCGATCACTTCATTCAGCTGCAAATAAATTTTCATCCTTCAGTGAGTGAAACGCTGGGAGTTTTCGGTCCGGCTTTAAGTGCACCGCTACATTTTATAGGTCGCGAAATTCGGGATTTAATTGGAGAAGCGCGTACTGCTGCTTTTCTCCAGTTGCCGGTTACCGGTAATTTTTTTACGATCAAATTTTTTTGCAAACCGTTTAGCAGCGTTTTAGTCTTGCTGTTGTTAAAGGAAATGCTACGGCTCGTTTGACTACGTTACCTTTTTACCCGAGAGATGACAGAGACTTTGATTGTTTTTGTAATCATCAAAAATTTTAACTGTTAAGTAGGGATGGTCGCGCTAGCATTTTTTGTTATCTCGGAGGCTATTGCCAATAAAAAAATTTTACTTTAAGGGAACTTAGGGAAGTGCCCCGGTGCATTGGAAGTGTCCCGAATTCGTGTACATACCAGGAAAATTTTCCTTTTGCGTGCTGCCAAACATGTTTTCGCATTGTTTTATGACACCATGTTAGTGTTGGGCCGGCCCGGCCCAGGGCCGCGGCCCGTTGTGGACGTTAAATATGGAAAAACACGTAGAAAAACAAAAATTTCATTGGGATTTACTGACATTTAGTAGTTTTCGATGAGTTTTTCTTAATTTTCACAGCATTAAACGTTTCTAGGCGAAAATCCGTCTATTTTGCCGTTGACATACCCAACACTCTGACCGTGTTGCCAGTACACTCATGAAAAAACCGCTAACATGCAACATCTAGTTGGAGAGTTC